GTAATGTTAGATTAAGTTTACAAGTGTGTGCTGTTGGCGACGATGGCTCGGGTATTAAAACCGCTTTATACCATGTCGACGATGATACCAAATATTTTATTCGATACCTATTAGTGCGATTACGTTTTCAAGACTCAGTAATATGAGTCAAGTGTTGAGTACAAACGAATACTGAAGGTCAGTGCCTTTTCAATAAGTCACTCCTTTGTATTTATACAACTGTACGTCTGGCAATGAGCTAAACAGCGGAAGAAACTCAAGTAAATTGCACGTAGTTATTGACTAAAATAATATGACGCCACGTACCCCACCAGATGTATAGTGGTCTAGTATCAAATTACGCAAGTCCAGCCTTTTATCTACATTTACAGTCATGACAAACACACGGCATGTAGCCACGGTAATCTCATTATATGTATAAGTATTTTATTAGCTAACATCATTATGCAAACATGTGAAACTGTTAATATTTGAATTACATCGTATTGCGTCGCTTTTTTGGTGGTGTTAAGACGTACGTACTCGCAAATGTACAAATGTAGAAACTCGAACTAGTTCAACCTTTGTAGTTACGAATCGTCGTGGATCTTGAAACCTAATAACCAGAGACCTCAGAATTATTGTGTTTATTTTTTTTATTTATTAAGGCTTTGGCAAAGCCATCAGCCTAAACATGAAGTTTAGTTATGTTTCTGTAAATATGGCCACCACAATGAGTATAGGCAATTTGAGGCGGCGTGCTTGGATTGACTCGGGATTCCTTAAAACGGGTATTCTAGTTCGAGATTCGTATAATTTCGCGTTTTAATCTTCGATTAAGGCACAATAGCACTATCCTATTCCACTTTAAACTAGATTTCACAAAATAATTGAAAATCAAAATAAAAACGAAACTTTTCCCTCCAAAAGGTCCAGAGCGAATCTCTTATTGTGTTTATTCTCTGAACCAATGATGGGACACGATCAGTGAAATCGGGAATCTGGGTTAAATATATCGACTGACCTATAACATTATCGAATCAGTGTTATAATACCATGGGAATAATTGGAATCAACTCATATAATTCGCTAATAGGGTCCACGCCAAGGATAATGGCGAAATAGCGTGGCGCCACTGTATGTTAATTTTCAGTTCAACTACTACGGCAGTGTATTTAGAAGAAAAGCCCTCATCGCCACAACTTAACCTGTCGAGGTTGTCGGGTTACCGGCGAGCAATATGACCAAAGTAACCAAGAATCCTTTGGTAGCATAGCGTTGAGAGTCTGATTTTTACCCTAAGTTATTTGCGTAGATTTGTTGGTCGTTATAGCGGTCCATGGCCGTGACAATGGGTACGACTAATGTTATCCAAAGTCGTTGCGCGTCGGGGACTGTGATGACCGCGTCACGAACTGTAGAGCCAAGTACGCTTCTGCAGTCTCCTTTATTTTGGCCTACTCATACTACCGACCTGTTCAAGACGCGAACATTTTTATATTCCTTTTGAATTTCACTTGTGTCTTCGGTTTATCACAGTCGCATCTAACTTATAAACGGCCAGAGTTTCATGTCGGCTTGGACCTTCGGTCGTCGAATATGCGTCTGATGAGAAATTTATTTTCCTAACTTGTGATCACGGGTAACTGCCATAAGCGCAAGAAAATTAAAGAAGTGTTGTATCCCGAGTAGGTATACCTGTATTTTATAATACATTTGCTGTCTGTATGTGGAAAAAGAAACTAGCATTTAAATAGTAAAACTCTGGGCTATTCAATCGTAAATAAACAGGAAGCCATTAAAATCAAATCACAGTAAAAGCGCAAATGAACACAATTAAGTGCTAGAATTGACATCTAACGTGCATATGAAATGTAAATTACGTCCGTCTAACAATATTGTCTGTATGCAATCAATACATGCATCTACCGGTCTGGTACCGTGCTGTGGTACTGGGTGGAACCGAATACATCAATTTTGTTCATTCATAGAGGACCCTACACAAAAAAACAAACTTGTGAAGTTATATGGTGGAATGTGTCAAGTGTCTACGGATATCTTTACCCCTTTTTTATGTATATAAAATCATTGTGTCTTTACCCATATATATTTTCTTCTTTCGACTCCCTCGATCCTTGAACTGCGAACAGACACGTACTATAGTTTTAAATGTGGTTAGCAATGTCTTCCTCAATCATAACTCAGCTAATTGTGTTCTACGGATTCGACCTCCTTGATTTTTTCAAGCGACTCACGCTTAAAATTACTTTATAAGTCGATACTTCAAGATTTTCTAAAAACTTTCAGTACATTTTGCATATCCGCTACAACATAATCGTTTACAACGGAAATGTTTAACCCGACAAAAAAATCTTGCGTTATTTTTTTAGTTTCAGATTTTCAATATGCTTGTAATATGATCACCTTTAACAATATAAATACAGTATTAATTAATTTAAAATGATGATCAGACCGAGCAAACGAGTATCGGAATAAACAATGCCTATGCGTAATACTTATTATTAAAATCAATGTAAATCCGTGGCTAGAACAAAAGCCCGCGGTAATGACTTGTAATGTAGGATACGATCAGATTGAGTACAGGTTTCCGGCTTCTCCTTTTAGACCGAACGAGTCGACCGAGGCTGAACTCACGCGCAGCCGGCGCTGCGATCAAGATCGTTATAGGGGTTGCTCTATAGTAGCTGTTATATCAAGCACTCTTTTTTTAGAAAGGTTTGGGTTCGGCCAATGACTGCTATAGGTTGATAATATGTAGACGTAAAAAACTTAAAGGTATAAAAAAAAACCTATTTTATAACGATAGCATAGGTAAGAATACTTAATTCGTGTGCGCCAACTTTGCCAATTAAAGCTTCATTGTCTTTGACATTCGCAAAAATATGACTTCGCAGTTTATTTCAACAATTAGAAGCAAAAAATTATAACATAATAATGAAAAGACCAATCATCGTCGCTACTAATCCGAGGACGCCCTAAAAGGAAACTTGGCGTCCGGGCCTTGGACGCACAAAAACGTTCAATATACACTTCTTGTATTTACTTACTTAATCTTTGGCGTCTTGTCGTGACCATTGTTACAATAATCGTGATGTTAGGCTGTTGTTTTCGAAAGTTTTAACATACTGCATTGGCTTCTTTTTGCGGTTGCTAGAAAGTTACATAAGGAAATGATTAGAGCTACTTACTCATTAAATCTGTAAATAATAACATTATCTCATTTTTATTTCGATCTTCATGTTTTTTTCATTCTTCATGTCTTTCAACTCGCCCTTCAAAATAAACTCAAATAATGTATGTCTCATATGTAAGCAAATTACAACAGAAATCGTCACAATGGTTAAACTCTACTACTCATTCGTAAGGCAGGGTTCACCTGAAAAGAATGAGTAAGAAAGTCTAGAGGTAAACAACCTCTTTTTAAAAAGGCATTTGTACAGATTTATCATTTCGCAGAAGTTACATCACAAATGTTTATTGCTCCATTAGATACAGAAAAATATCTCCTCTCCAATTATCGACTAACATTGTCGATAGAGTTGCAAGAATTATTTTATGTATTTTTTATTTATCCGTATCCAAAGGAGCAATAAACGTCTTTGACGTATCTTCACTTATACCATTCTTCCACGAAGTGTGCGATTTGCAACAATTTATTTCGAATATCATAAATCGAGACAACCTGCAAGGGATATTCGGGTTACTACCATAGATTTTTCATCCAAGTACACAGAAGTTATATCACTATAGTTTTAATCGCAATAGAGCTCCTTGTGAAAGAGTTGGGAAATACTGCCACCTTGCCTATTTCTGCCGCCAAGCAGTAATGTGAGCATTACTACGTTCCCGTTTTGAAGGGTAAGGGTGCTGGTGAAATTACAGGGACTTGTCAACTTGTGTGTCAAGGTGGCGGACGCTGTGGCAGTGGCAGATCTTTGTTATTTAAAGCTCTCGGCGGCACTGCAACTAAAAAAAAATAGACAGACGACTGGCTCACGACTTGATCGTTCCGTCACGTGGTATTATAAAAAAAGTTTTAAACGACTGTCAAGTACAGCCAGTTTATTTTTATTCCTTGTGTTAATGTTATGTTTATCACTATTTTTCATAAAACAATCTATACTTAATTAAATCTTCGTTTACTGTGACTCTCGTGTAAGAATGTTAATATTTTTACACTTGTAATATTGATTATAATAAATATGAGATGTTTTACTACCATGATATTAATTTATTTTTAACGGACTTAAAAAAGGAAAGGTTTTCAATTCGCCTGTATATTTTTTGTGTGTATGTTACGCGACAAATTTGTGCACCGATTTTGATGATTCTTTTTTTGTTGCATAGGGGCATAGCATACCTTAGTATTGGTCCCATTTAAATTTCTAGAAAATATTCCACCTCTAAAGGGCCACGTACACGTATAGATACTTGGAGATAAATCCGGGTTCACGCAATTTCTGTTAACCGATTTCAATAAATTTGGCAAATAGATGTGATTCCACGAACTTTGAGGTCGTTTTTTTAATAAAAAAAAGCTGTATATTCAATATAATGAATCAAGTCTACTACAATATTGGTTATTTTTTGTAAAATTACTCCACCAAATTGTTATAATTATTAATACAAAGATCGAACACAAAGTTCCTTCAATCTGACAGAACTTGAACCCGTGTCTGTTTTGCCATTCTAGGGCAACCGCTCTACCAAGTGAGCTACAGATCGAGTCAGTATAAATTTCTCTATGTGTTTGTTGCAGATCTTTGTTTTTTGTTTTAGCGGCTTTTTTTACCGTAGCGCCACCTGTGACAATTCTATGAAATCTATTATTAGGTATAAATAATAGATTTAGAATTCTATGAAATCTAAATCTATTATTTATACCTACTTCTCTCTGTACCTGAGGGTTCCTGATAATAACTTTTTCTCTACAATTTTCTACATTTTTAAATACATAAATCTACAATTTTTAGTCTAAAGCTCCCTTTTCCCAATTCCAGGGCTGGCCTCTTTGGGAGCGGTTCGAGTCCACAGAGCACGAGCGGCGACTGCTCCTGGTGGCGCGGCTGCCGCGCGTGCGCACACTCAACGGTGGCGGCGCCGTGCCCGTCGAAGAGCGCGACGCCGCCGAACGCGCCTTTATACGCTACTACATGGAGAAACCCGAGGCAGACAGGCCTGACAGGTAAGACTTTGCGTCTTTTATATCTTTTATTAGATATTGTGTTGTTCTAATGTAAGTATATACTTGTGCTATATGCTTGAATAATCTTTGTTACATAATGTGTCTGTGTAA